AAAGCAACCCAGTTTTACCCTCCCCAGGATGAACCTGTTTCAGTTATGTTGAGGGATTTCTCTTTTTGAATTTTGTTGAGCATTTTTTGTGAGGAAAGAGTGTGGTATTTGTCAGATGCCTTCTCTGCATCAATTCAGATGATCACATAGTTCTTTTGATTTACTGCTGTGGTAGATTATACGGTTTTGTTTTGACAATGTTAAACCATCCTTGGATATCTGGTATGAATCCTATTTGATCATGATGGATGATTTGTTGGATATGGTGTTGGGCACCTTTTGGCTAAGATTTTGTTGAGAATATTTTAATCCATAGTCATGAAATATACTGGACTGTAATTTTCTTTTTGAGTGATATTTTTGCCTGGCTTTGGTATCAGGATTATTCTTGCTCAAACAATTTGTTTATCCTGGACTCCTCTTGGAACAAAAAAAGTACAAAACAAGTTTCATAAAGTAAGAGGACAAAGATTTTTTGATCTAGAGTAATCACTAACTTGAGTGTTGAGTTGAAAACCCTCAGGAAGTAATAGAGAAGCTCCCTATCCCAAAAGTTCCTAATTATTACTGCTTCAAGTTATGATGGCAGAATCCTTAAGCAGCAAAACAAACACCAGATAGACATATTCAGAAACTGCCTGAGCAAATGGCTAAAAGGATTAGTGGTACCATAATCATCCTTAGAAGTGGAGATGGTAAGCACTTAACTCACATACACGGGGCATGATCCTGGTGAAGGACATCATGCTTAGTACAGTGGACAATCAGTGAAAAAGAGGAAGACCCTGCCATTCAAAACTCAAGCTCCTTGCCAAGTCAGAACTGACTCACAGCTGACCCTCTAGAGGGTTTTCAGAGGCTACAAACTATCATGATGTTGTCTACTGACCCACTGTTAAGGATTTTTCCTTCTGTGATGCTTAGATGTAATCCACATTGAAGGGGAAAGAAGGAAAATTTTAAAATGAATAGAGGAGAAAAAACACACTATAGGGAAAGAGGTTTTGTTTAGAATTTTAAGCCTCACCGAACACCTATTAGAGATGAAAATTAAAGACCTCATATACCAAGGCAGGTATTTACTGCTAGTCAGAAGCAAAGAACTGCCAGAACCAAAAGTGACTGTTTACCAGTGAAACCAGTGAAGTGGTTCAAATAATAATTCATCTAGTCCTATGGCTGTTTGAGTCATATGGCTCAATCTGAAATGGGTAACATGTAATATTAAGGGGTGGTGGGGGAAGACCAGGAAGAAGGTAATAAAATCTAAGATAAACCTTGAAATATTCACTTAAAGTTTTTAATGATAAACATGTGTCACTTTAGCAAATTTGTTAGTTTTTGTAGATTTTTGTCTCATGTGTTACAGATTTTTCCGAGTTTCAGGGGCCAAAAGTGTGTTATTATGAAAGCAGCGCTTCGCAACCTCAGCATTACTGAAATTTTTTTGTTGGGGAAAACTGTTTTGAAAGTCACAGGATGTGTAACAGCATCTCTAATGTCTACTCACTAGATTCTTGTTGTGCCATCAAGTGGAGTATGGCCCATAGCAATCCTATGAATAACAGATCTGAAGCCATGGGATATTCAGAACTCTTCTCCAACACCACAGCACAAAAGCATTAATTCTTCTGTCATCCTTATTCATTGTCCAGCTGTCAGATGCACAGCAAGTGATTAAAAAGACGACAGCCTGAACCAGACACACTTTAATCCTCAAACTGACAACATTGCTCCTCAATTATTAGGGGTCTCTAACTGCAGACTTTCCCAGTGCAATGTTGTTGTTATTTGCTGTCAAGTCATCAGCAACCCAGAGTGACCCTATGTACAGCAGCTCTAAACCCTTCCTTGTCCTGTGCCAGTCTCACTAATTCTAACACACCAACCCAACTGTCCCATTTACTGTATTAATCCATCCCATCCAGGGTCTTTCTCTCCTGTGCTGTTCCTTCACCCTTCTGAGAACAATGTCCTTCAAGGACCAGTCTCTCTGGCCACGTGCCCCAAAGTATGTGAGACAGAGCTTCAAAATCCCAGCCTTCAAGGAAAGTCTTAGTTTTACCCTCTTCAAGACAGACCTGACTCGGTTTTCTTGACAGTCCATAATGTTCAAGAGTCTTCTCTAGCACCACAACTTGAAGGCATCGATTCTTCTGTCATCCTTAGTAACTATCCAGCTCTCTGAAGCATAACAACTAATTACAAAGCCCATGGCCTAGATTAGGCACACCTTAGTCTCTAGACAGACATTGTTGCTTTTCAGCACTCTGGAGAGGTCCCTGACAGCAGATTTCCCTAATGAAATTTGTCTTTTGATTTCCTGACTGCTGGTGTTAAGAGTGTTGATTGTGGAGCAGAACAAGCTGTAATTGTTAACAACCTCAATCTCTTCTCCATCTATCATAGTGCTGCCAATTGGTCCAGTGGTGAGAATCTTTGTCTTCTTGATGTTGTGCTTCAATCTGTATTGAAGACTCCAGTCCTTGACCTTTTGCAGCAAATACTTGAAGTCTTCTTCAATTTCATAAAGTAGTGTCATCTGCATAGCATAGGTTGTTGATGAGACTTCCTCCAATCTTGATGCCGCATTTCTCCTCATAAAGCCCTGCTCCCCAAATAATCTGTTCTGTATACAGATTGAGAAGATATGGAGACAGGATGCCTCCCTGACACACTCCTTATTATCCCAGAGCAGTAAGTCTCCTGATTTCCTGATTGCTGGTACCAAGGGTGTGGATCAAATAAGATTAAAGTTGTTGATGGTTTCAGTATTTTCTCCACCTATCATGATGTTGCCTAGAGGCCCAGTGCTAAGAATTTTTGTTTTCTTGATACTGAGATGCAATCCATATCGAAGGCTGTATTCTTTGCTCTTCCGCAACAAGAGCTTCAAGTCCTCACTTTTTCAGCAATCAAGGTTGTGTAATCTGCGTAATACAGATTATTGATGAGTCTTCCTGTGGTCTTTTATTTTTCCCCCCATCCCCCGTGACCCCAACCCCCTTCCTCTGGTCTTGATGCCACATTCTTCAGAGTCTAGCTTCTTGAATAATTTGCTCAGCAAACAGACTGAATAGGTATATAGAGAGAATACAATACTGATGCACTCCCTTCTTAATTTTAAACCATGTAATGTTCCCCTGCTTTGCTCATACAACAGCCTCTTGGTCTAGGTGTATATTTTGCATGAGCACGACTAAGTGCTCTGGGATTCTTCTCAATGTTAGCCATAACTTGTTGTGATCTACACAGTCAAATGCCTTTGCATAGTCAATAAAGCACAAATAAATATAGCTTCCCAACTGTGAGAACTAACCAGAAATTCCAAAGTGTATCCTCAAACATAATCAAGGTTATCAGAAATGTCCCCTGGGAGGCAAAATCATTTGTGGCTGAGAACCATTAGGGATAGAAGTTTTGCAGAACTACAGATAGTCCGCTTGCATAACATAAAACTGTTTTTTATTTTACTTTCCTAGGAAAAACAACAACAAATTCAGACCACCCCCCACCTGTTGTTTAATTCTGTACTTTCTTAATCTATACTGACTGAAATATGTAGCATTATGGAACAATGAAACGTTGCCTGACGAGGAAAGCTCTTTACAGGCAGCTTCCCACAATTTTCAGTTTGCTTGGTGAGTATTCCTCTCAAGTGCACTGTTGTGGCTGAACAAAGCCTGAGAGCGGAAGGGAAAAATTTCCTTATCATGGGGTCTAAGTCCTGGTCACAGTGAATTCCCAAATTTACCTGAAGCAGTTCATATTTAAACTAGAGACCATACCGTGGCTACAATTATTTATCATAATGTTAAGTTAGGCAGTAGGAGTCTTGGTAGGACTAGTTAAGCACTCAGCTGTTAACTAAAAGGCTGGCAATTCGAACTCACCAGCAGCTTTGTGGGAGAAAGATATGGTCCTCTGTTCCTGTAGAAATTATAGCCAAGAAACCACCATGGGGCAGTTATATACCCTGTCACCTGGGATTAGCTCTACGAGGTAACATCAATTCAATGGCACCCAACAATCTACAATTTATACCATTAGGCTAGAATACTGTGCCTTTCTTCACTGGTTAAAGAGGCTAATGTGTGCTCCTACTCTAGCCAAATTAAAAAGAAGCACAAATCAGCCGCGAAAAGAGTATTATACCAATGATAAGTTTTTTTAAACAAACCACTCAGATAAAGTAGAACACAAATTCTTCTGAAAATGGTATAGACTTATCTCAAAAGGCCTTTTAAAAAATGACTTGCGATGATAAAGCAGTTTTCAAATACACAAAGTGCTTTATAAACAACTCAATAAGCCTTAAGGAATGCTCTTTCAGTACATCACCTTTTTGTTGTTTAGAAGAAAACACCCCATTCAAAGGATGGCAGCATATTTGATATCACCATGTTTAAAGAGGAATGGAGTTACAGGAATGAGAAGTATATAATTAGGAAATAATCCTTCTCAACAAGTGATTTAAGAAGCAAAGCCAAAAAGAGAAAAAGGCGCTCAAGGCAACACAATCAGTGCATATCAGAAATGCATTTTTATTTGAAAACAACTTAAAATTTTAGACAAATGATTTTAGTATATAAATTTGATTTTGTTTTTTATACAGAATATAAAGATGTCCCTCATTAATGTTCCATACGAAGGTTTTTTACTTTCTGCACACAATTGTGTATCTTACATGTGTCGTACTGGAAACCAGTGTAGTGATCCTACACATAAATTAGGACAACACGCATTAAAAAGGGGAGAAGAGAAATACTCTAGTGAATCC